CCCAGCACACCTATTTCCTTTCATGGTACTTACTATGTGGCTTTATTCTAAAGCATTTATGTGAGTGAACTGATTTCATCTCCCATCATTTTGAGGATGTGTATAATATTACTATGCTTATTTTACATATGAGAAAACTGAGACAGAAAGCAGGTAAATGGGAGCCAGGTAGTTTGGCTTGAAAGTCTGTGCCCTCTGCCAATAATTTAACATGCTTTGGATAAATATAACACTCTGTAAATTAAGCAAATCCATTGTCATAATTCTATCAGGCCTCTCTCCATCTTCTCTCCAATAGGATTATTTTGTTCTCTGTCCAAGGAACATGCCCGATTTAAACAATTTCAATTGCCTATCAAAGAGTGACCTCTTGTGTTCAAATTGCAAATTTAATCATGTCTGGATATTTGTTAAAAAGTATTGCCTCTCTGTAGTAATTATTTTAGAAATTCAGTTTGATCATGATGAGGAGAAGTTAAAATAATTATATGACATGCTTTGTCTTTTTTCAGGTTATAGTGAAAGTCAACAATGGCATCAGAGATTTTTCTACCTCAGTAACACCCAAACAGAATCTCTGTGATGGCAGATGGCACAGAATTACAGGTAAGAAACCCCGAATGCCCTGGGCTTCTTCATAAACTGAGCCCACACACCACCTAGGGGATGATGGCCTGGCAGAACTTACATGATACATGATGGATGATGGCCTAAAAGCAGCCAAGAAAGGTGAATCAAGTGTTATCATTCTAAACTGCCTACATTGAATCCACGAGTAATTTGAAAATGTGAATGGTACCAAAAGAGAGTCAAGGAGGTATTTACATGATGAGTAACTTTTGGAGAAAAAAAAGGGGGGGCAAGAGTATCCTAAATAGTTTCCTTTTCAAAGGAAAATGTTACAGTGATTGCTTGGTTAGATATGGCTAGATGTCATTGCCGTTTTCAATGATAGGAAGAAAATATGGGGTTTTATTCTGGACCTTATCATTGTGACAAATTAGTTTCTTTCACATGAAAATGAATCATCCCAGAGCTACTTATGACCAGTCTCTGCCCTGTGTTTCAGTTATTAGAGATTCAAATGTGGTTCAGTTAGATGTGGACTCTGAAGTGAACCATGTGGTTGGACCTCTGAATCCAAAGCCAGTTGATCACAGGGAGCCTGTGTTTGTTGGGGGTGTTCCAGGTAAGCATTGCTGAGAAGGGTCAAGTTTCCAAATTCGGAAAACTAACCCATAAGCTCTCATAATTGTTACTATTATATTAAAAATTGAACCATGTATTTTCATAATCTACCAAATAATTCAAAGGGTTTTCTATACAATGGCCCACAATAAGGAAAAACAACAGAGCCCTGAGTTTTAGCCCAAGAATTTTTTTTTAAAAAAGGACAGACTGAAGCTCCTTATTCAAGAATCAAAGTCACACATAAGAATTAACATGCTGACCACAAGACGTCGTTCCCATCTTGCCCCCTACAATTGTTAAAGCCCTACAACAAGGACCATTACCTTATGTTGAGCACTGTTTTATGTATTTCTCTAATGTGGAAGAACTGAAAGTGATAGCTGATGAAGGGGATGAAAGAAGGAGCTATTGAAGCTTTGCATCTGGTGCAGACTTTAATAATTTTATAACTAGATTTTTTAACTGAACCATGTAAAAGCAGTTAATAACTTAAAAAAGGAAGTCACAGATAAAATCCAACATAAGCATCTCACCTCGGGTCCTCTCAAATAGTAGCGGCTAAGTGCTTCTCTCTAAGATGAGGTTCTCATATACCAGCACTGGCAATGCTGGTAACTCTGGAGCCAAAAGGAATAGTGAAGGCCCTCACATCCAGCCCTTCCTGTCCTTTATTTCGTACCCCTACTCCCATTGTTCGCCAGTCCTCCCCTCTGCTCTGGCTCTGATTCCTAAAGGGACTCATGAAGACCACACTGTACCTTATGTAGATGCCCTGCAAAAAATGTCTCTCATTAGTTCTTAGATTCCTCCACATTGCTTCCATCCTAGAAACTACAGCATAGCTTAAACTATTTCATAGGTCCCCAAAGGTCCACAGATCTATCTCAACAAAGCATGCACCTGGCCCCTCTATGCCCTGCCTCTGGGAGCTCGCTGTACCTTCCGGAACCTGAAACTCCTTCATGTTCAGTGAGGGTCTTTGCTCAAGGCCTTCCCACAAGTACTCAGGGATTCAACTTCTAGAAAATATTGTTCCTTTTTTCAAGTACCTTTCCCAGAAACAACTTCTCTCACTCCTCTTCCTATCTAACTCTGGTTTTTTATTTGTTTTTGTTTTGTTTTGTTTGTAGTTGTTTGTTTGAGGTTTTGTTTTGTTTTGTTTTGAGACAGGGCCTCACTACATAGACCAGACTGACTTGAACTGATAGAGATCCGCCTGCCTCTGCCTCCCAAGTGCTGGGATTAAAGACTTATACTACCGTGCCCAGTACTAACTCCTTTTTTAAAAAAGATTATTTTTATGTGTATGAATGTTTGCCTGCATGCGTGTATTTGCACCATACACGCTCCTGGTGCCCATAGAGGTCAGAAGAAGGTGTTGGATCCCCCAGAACTGGAGTTACAGACCGTTGGAGGCCCCATGTGGGAACCCAGGTGTTCTGAAAGAACAGCAAGTGTTCTTAACTGCTGAGCCATCTCTCCCGCCCCCTACCTAACTCCTTATTGGCCTTCAGGACTCAGCTCAGGCTTTTACTTCCTAAGTGTAAGATATATTTGGTACCACTGTTATGGAACTTGTCATAGAACACTGTTGAAGCTAAACAACACACTCAGTACTGGCAGGGACAAGACCAGTCACCATCCAACATCTATTGTCTATTAAGTATCTCTGTTAGGCTCCAGGTGGGCAAAACAGTGTGACCCTCTCTTGTGAATGTTACAGCAGTTCCTCTGTATGTCCTTCCTCTGTATGTGAAGTGTTTACCACACACTTCAAAAAATAATTTGTCTCTGATTTTTGTCTGTTTTCAGATTCTGGTCCTAGCACCATAGACTTCTATCATTAATTTCCACAGACTGAGTGAACAATATATACCACAAGCCAAATTCAGGCTGTCCAAACATGTAATGAACATCAAGTTTTAAATAGTGAGCCAGTACACAGGAGCTAGCAGCCTAGTGGCCTAACCACCAGGCCCACTGCACCACGACAGCTTTTAATTCCATGTAGGAATCATGCCAGCAAGACTACAACAAAAGCAATTATAATTTAAGCTGGCTGTAATTAATTACATCACTCTGAGCTGCTTGAGATTAATTCTCCTAAAATCACATCAGAAACCAGGACATTAGGAAGGATAACTAAAGCATAAATAAAGCTCCTGTATGCCCTGAATTCTTTTGAAATACCAGCCACTCTACCATCCAGAAGTCTGATAACTCATTATTTCTCACTAAAAAGTGAATGAATAAAATTCATAGAACACCAAAAAAGTCAACTTTCTGGTCTGATAATTTAAATTTTTAAATTAAAATTAAAGAATCTTCCAAGTTAGCATAGCCTACACACATCTATCAAAAATGCCACATTTTCTATAATATATAGTCATGCCTTCATTGAATCGCTCTTAAAATTATATGTTGCACTATGAACCGTCTCCTTCTTTTGAAAATATTCCCGCTTTAGATGGAAATGAAGTAATTTTATATGGATTTCCCCAAAATATTTAGTTCTTCACTTGCTTTCTTTTAATTTATTCTTTCAAAAATTCATACATACATAATATTCCTGGATCACACCCCTATATCCTCTCTCATCCCCTTCCTCTTCTTGGTGAGCTCTTTCTTTTTCCCAGCAAAAACATCCCATTCCTACTTTAATGTCTCGTGTGTGTGTGTGTGTGTGTGTGTGTGTGTGTGTGTGTCTCACTGCATTTAACTAAAGCTGCCTGCATGAGCATGGGTGGAGGTGTTACTTATGTGAGCAAGGGCAACTTCCCAGTAGCTACTTCACTGAGGATTATGACTCCCCTCCCCCTGCAGCCATTAACTGCCTGTAGCTCCTTGGAGAGGTGTGGGACTTGTGAACCCTTCCCCCAGCATGATGGAATGCTGATGAGCCCAGTCTTGTGCAAGGTAACTGTTGGTTGCTTCTTCAGTTACATTACTTATGTTTTCAATTTTTAATTTTTGGCAGTCTCATACATGTAAACAATGTGTTGAGAACACATATTCACCCTATCACCCTCTTATCCCTTTTCAGCAGTTACATTCTTATATGTAAACCCAAAGAGGGTTGTTTGCTCTCTATTTTGTATTTTTATTGTAATCAAATACACATAACACTAATTTACCATTTTAACTACTTCAAATCTGTAATTCAATGGCATTAAGTGCATCATAGTGTTGCACAACCAACTCTATTTTATATAGAAACTTTAAAATATATTGCATTTTTTTCATTATGTGTTGAGGGACTGGAAGATGGACCAATGGCTAAGAAAACCTGATTCGAAAGCATGAGGACCAGAGTTCAGTTCCCAGTACCCACATAACAAGTCTGGTATGGTCCAGAGCATACCTGAAATAACAACACTGAGGTGGGCAGGAACAGTAAGACCACTGAGGTTCATTGGCTACAAACCTAGCTGGAAATGTAGACACAAACAAGCTCCAGCTTTAGGGAGAGACGCTACCTCCAAGAAATAAGGCAGAGAGTGATAGAGGAGGACACGCTGCTCTGGCCTCTGCGCTCACAAGCATGTGCACCTGCACATATGCACAAATACCGCACATTCATACATACACACCTGCATACACATACAAAAACGTGTTGATTTTGTTAACCAATTACTTAGGCCCCTGGGACACTTTTCTGTCACTACACATTATTAATTTTGTGATGAATTATGTAGGGTGTAATTACTATATGAATTTTTTCCTCCAGATGATTTTCTCCATGAACCAAAGGGTGGAAAACTCAGGCAGAATCAAAGCTGTTCCAATTCTTGTCTCTAATATAGGCAAAGCTTTACAAGATTCTATTCAGAATTTTACTCATTTTTTAATTCTAATGATGAAATACACTGAGCAAGCCTAAAGAATATATATTGTCATTGTAATTTAAACACAAATAAAAGAAACTGATCTCTCAGACCCATTCCAAATCTAAAACTTTATGATCATTATCCTAAATATGACATGCTGTTTCCATTATTTAATTTTTTACATTTTGTTTATTATTTTTATTTTATGTGTATGAGTGTATCGTCTGCATGTGTGTGAGTGCACCTGTGTCATGCAGTGCCCAAAGAGATCAGAAGAGGGCACCAGATCCCCTGAAACTGGAGTTGTTGGCCACCGTGTGAGTGCTGGGAATCAAACCCAAGTCCTCTGCAAGAGCAGTGCTCTTAACCGCTGAGCCATCTCTCTAGTCCGCCATGGTTTAAATAAGACACAACTTCAGTACATGCTTACTCTACTGCTTAGAAAACTTATTACAGCTGCTTGATGATGCTTAATTTGATGTCCTGTCTTATGTTCTTACCTAAGTTACAGATTTCTAAGTGATTTTCCTCTTTTATCTGCCACTGCTAGCATAGCTGTTTAGATAGACAGATGATAGATAGATAGATGATAGATAGATGATAGAGATAGATAAAGTTTTGACTACATGGAGTTTAATTTCATGATATTTATAAACTGTCTTAATTGCTTTAAATTATATTGCTTCTATCATCCCACACACCTAATTTTGTCTGTACAATTAATAAGCAAAAGCCTTTTTCTAGATGCCTAATTGCAACAAGAGACTCCCCTGACATACTACACAGCACCTGTGTTCATACAAAACTGTGCTAGTTATCACTTCCCTATTCATAGTTCTTAAGCCTAGAGCTCAGAAAAATTAAATTTTACCTCATTTGAATTCATTATTTTCTCATTATATGCTATAAGCTTGGCAGAAATGTAGAGGCTTAAGGGTGAAATTTAATGATACGAATTAAACAGAAACATTAACTCTGTCCAAAATAATATGGATGCTGAAACTGCTTTCCCCCTTCTCAGCAAAACACAGAAAACAAGTGAAGCCTAAGGGAAATAACAAAAACACAGGGAGATCATGAAAATCCACTGCTGAGACTTCACATCTAAATGCTAAATTTTAGCCTTAGAAGACTGCTGCAGTGTGCACAGAAATATAATCATGAGAAACACCGCAAAACATTAAAATTACCATGTACTCATGTACTTCGACAGCAGCTGCCGTTCCTGAGAGTCAGTTATAGAATTGTATTCTGTTGCTGACATGGAAATCATGTTGATGATTTGAACGTTTTTCTGGTTTTTACCAGGAGGTAATATTTGGGCTTGGAATTCCCCCATTGTAATTTTTGCTTTCATCTCTTTCTCTTTTCAGAGTCTCTCCTGACACCACGCTTGGCTCCCAGCAAACCCTTCACAGGCTGCATCCGCCACTTTGTGATTGACGGGCGCCCAGTGAGCTTTAGCAAAGCAGCCCTGGTCAGTGGCGCTGTGAGCATCAATTCCTGTCCAACAGCCTGACACAGCCTGACACATGGCTGCTGGGAAGAGCTCTTTCTAGCACTGAAATAAACAGCCAGTCAGGAGGGACAGCAACACTCCCTCACAGAAGCTCTCATCTGCTTGAAGGAGATTTAAATAAATCATCAGGGACTGGGTGCTTCTTATTTCTCATTTGACTTCGTACTTTGGATCCAAACTGTCTGCAGTAGATAACAATCAAAGGAGTGGCAAAAGTACTCCTACTGAGAGCACACTTACTTCCTGCTGGCAAAGTGATTGTTCTTGTCTCTAATAAAATAGAAGGAATTCTAAACCTGCACTGGCATACATTTTTTAAGTGTGGCTGCATTCTCAGATTCATCATTTTGGGGGGGAAAAGGTAACTTCAACTTATACCCAACTATATTTGACCTTAATTACTTAAAACATTTACTAACTTATTCATAACCTAAATCGATGATATTTTTCACTTTTATAAGACTATTTTAGGTTTACAGTAGCAGTTTCATGGTTAAATAACAGCGTCAATAGATTATCAGAAAAATTGGGGCCAGTGAGATTACTTAGAGGGTGGAGTCACAGGTCTAATCACCTGAATTCAATCCTTGAATCTCACCAGGTGGCAGGAGAGAAGGGATTCCCAAGAGTTGCCCACCGACATCCACATGAACTCCGTTGTGTGTACAGCATGCCATGTGTGCACCAGTGTGTGGGTACATGGAACACACACACACACACACACATCAAATAAAATTTTTAAAAAGAAAATTGTAAGACAATATCTTCTAGATTGAAAAAAAGACTACCTCTTCACAGAGTTGAGCCCTCACATTCTTATACTCAGAAAATGAGACTCCCCTGACTCGTGTACCTCTTAAAAAAACACATGATAACCTTCTGAAACTTGCCATTCTGAACTTGAATCAATTCTTGGACGAGACCTCATCCCCTCAACTTCTAGATGAAAAGTAGGAAGATTTTTTTTTCTTTTAGCTAGGCATTGAATATCAGTACTTGACAGACAAAACAAGTGCTCACAGTAATTTTGATGACTTGTTCATGGCCCCTGCCAGTTTAGAGTCCCTTCTAAAGAAAGAGGGCCTGGACTGATGGAGAAGCCCTAGTTGTGTCTGTGTCCTCCTACTTCTTCTTGTGGCCATAACTAACCAGATAAGACACTGCCTCATATTAAAAAAAAAAAAAAAAAAGAGTGTTAACAACTATTTTCTCTTAAAATTTTGAATTGGGAAATGAAGAAAATCAGACACTTAACAGCAGAAGTTGAAGCCAAAAAGGATCGTAAACACTTACTGTGCACATTTGTAAGCATACAAAGCTTGGGATTTCCATTCTGAAGATCTAGGATGACACATCCACCTACCCTTTGTCTAGTAATAATCACCTCAGTCCTCTGCTCAAAATCTATAGGGAGGTATCCCAAAGACTCTTGAATGTATTTCTTCTTTTGCCCATTATCTCCTTAGGTTCATGTTGGGGGAAAGGATGTCAACAGTATCTTGCCAACTACAGTCAATAACTAGAGCCATAGAACAGGAAATATACCACATTTTAAAAGTATAGGGCCTTTCCCTTCTCTTTTGAGACTGGCTAAAAGGAACTATTTTGGCACAATTCTCAGTGCAACACCACAATGACCTCAAACAACCATAAAGACAAGCAGAGAACCTACTGCTGTGGAAGGTTGTCCTCCCAACATGACAGGGCCATTGTCCTCCCAAACTCTAACCAGCTATTATTGCCTGAAGGAGATCTGCACAAAACTGGACCCATTAATGAAGGGGGGTTCACCAGGCCATGCCCCTCCTTGACGATTTGTAGGCCTTAACAGTTGCCAAGTGGAGAGGAGCTCACGAGGCCCCACTTCCCCTGAAAATATAAAGGCAATTAAAGATTGCTAGAAGGGAAAATTTTTTTCTTCAGTAGTCTAGCCACCCATAAGTTGTGACTACTCACCCGTGCTTGCGTAACCCCAAGCAAACTCATTGGTTCACCAAGCTGCATTTGGGTGGAATTATTTGTTTGATGTTCTATCTGGGGTTAGTAAACATTCACTCATCTCCTCAGAAAAAGTTCATACAACTGTTTAAATGCAAGCTATGTGAATTTTTGTTCCCACAGATCTGTTGTAGGAGCCCAGAATACGATCTGGCATGTACAGGAATATGCTCAATAAATACTCATTGAGTGAATTTCAGGGAAACCGAGTTTCTATAATGGTTATTCCCCTCACCTCACCTCCCAAGACAATCATTTATAAAGTTCCTGAAAGTCTGAGAAAAGAAAAAACTGATATTTATGCATTTTGATTCCACTGAATCCCAGAAAACTTGATTTATCTATGACTATGAAAAAACTGGAGGAACAATGGACAGCCCAACAAAAAGCCAAGAACATCTAGAATAACAGTTTAAGTTCTAAAAACCAAGGGAGAAGATGGGCTAGCACAGACAAGACCACTCAGTTTATGTACTTTAGTACCAGAGGACATCTATCCCTGTGAGAAGGCAATATGGGACAGGCAGAGGGTAAATGAGGGTGAGGGATGAAATCCCAGTGGTCTAACTATGGAACAGAGGAGCACAAACAAAGGTGCTGACTGACACTGCCAGTCAGCAGCGGCACGTGAATCTCAAGAGCTCCCAAAGTGTGCTGATGGAGGCAGCTAAGGATTTAGACTCTTAACAACCTAACCAGACCATACTGAGTTTACAATGAACAACAGCCTCAACAGAATATATTTTCAAATGATCATGAGCTAATATCAACCTGGAGGCAGGTTATAAAACTATGATGTCACAAGGCATTCCTTGTGGCTCCAGCAGTCGGGCCCTTGCCTCGGGCCTGCTGTATGGCTGTCATTAAGACTTTCACCCTAGGCTCAAGCCTGTCTCCCACATATATGTACTGTGCATGTGCATCTATAAGCCAATATTTTTTCACTTAAAAAGATCTATGGGGGCTTGAGAGATGGGTAAAGGTACTTGCACCATTTGATCCCTGAACTCATAAGGTAGAAGGCAAGAACTGACTCCCAAAAGCTGTCCTCTAACTTCCACACAGATTCTGCAGCATATGCATACAGCCATGAACACAGAACAAATGAATGTGAAAAATAAAAGTTCAGCCGGGCGTAGTGGCACACGTCTTTAATCCCAGCACTCGGGAGGCAGGAGCAGGCGGATCTCTGTGAGTTCAAGGCCAGCCTGGTCTACATAGTGAGTTCCAGGACAGCTGGGGTACAGGGAGACCGTCTCAAAAAGATAAAAATAAATAAATAAATAGATCATTTTCAACAAATAAATAAGAAACATTGTTTAAAATATTTTATTTTTTAATTTTATGTGTATGAGTGTATTGCCTGCATGTATGTAAGTGCACTCATACTATGCAAGGCCCATGGAGGTCAGAAGAGGGCATCGGGTCCCCTGGAACTGGAGTTATGGATGGTTGTTAGCTGCCATGTAGGTGCTGGAAACCGAACCCTTGTCCTCTGCAAGAGCAACCAGTGCTCTTAACTGCTGAGCCATCTCTCCAGCCCCAAGTAACATTTTTTAAAGACTTACATGTATATCTTTAGAAAGTTAGATAAGGAATTAAGGAAACTGCAATGGATCTTAAGTCAGCCTTTGGAAAAGATAGCTTCACTGGATGGATAATGACAAACATCAAAAGAGAAGCAGGATGAGTTCCCAGGGGCCATTGCAAGAAGAAAACATGTAGAGCTGGTATAGAGCTCAGAAATGGTCCTAAGATAGATCAAGTAAAATGATCCATCTAAGGTTTCTCAGTCTCAACCGTGGACCATTTCAAGATGACTGACCAGGACTTGGCGAACAATGTAATAATGGGATATTATTTTTCCTGAAGAAATGGGAATTACAATCATGATCTTAACTTCCTTAGTAATAAATGTAACCAATTATCTGAGCTCCCACATGAAGATAGTTTAAATGATTTCCAAACTAAAAACCTCCTTTGATCTCAGCTATTCTTCCAAAATGCACACCCCTGTGGGGCTCCATTTCTTGCTCAGTAGAATTATTTCTTGACAGAACAGAATCAAAGCTATCAAGTCAGAAAGCAGCTTCAAGTATTCAGGTGGAAGGCCCAGCTGGGAAGCAGCAGCTGGAGTAGTCCTCTCCAGTGGATTGTCCTTACAAATCATGTAGAACATCAGTTTGAACAACTCTGTACATACAAAGGAAAAAAAAAACAAAAAACAAAAACTTCACAAGTACTAGAGAAACCAGGTGAGAGATCAAAATATCAGATTTTAGCATAAGAAAAAATGCTTCGAAGAGGATAAAAAGGACAGTTTTGCATGATTCATGTCATCCCTCCCAATCCCAACCCAGAGTGTAAGAGACACCATTTCTTGGAAGAAAGAAAGGAAATAAACAAGGACTGGAGAGACGGTTCAGCAGTTAAGAACACTAGCTGCTCTTACAGAGGACCCTGGTTTAATTCCCAGCACCCACATGGTAGCTAACAACCTCCTGTAGCTCCAGTTCCAGGGGGACTTCGACACCCTCTTCTGACCTCAGCGAGCATTGTATGACACGGGTGAACAATACATTCATACACATAAAATAAAAATATTTTTTAAAAAGGAAAGGAAATAAGCGTAGAAATCAGTACTAGGCCACCACAGTAAAACCTGGCACTAGGTAAACCCCGGGCCCCTAACTCAGTCCCTATATCCACTCCAACTCTAGATGAGAGCCACAGCTCTAGTGAGATGAGTTTAAGTTCTGGCCTGCATCAGCACAAGACATGTGTGGTGGTCTTTGGCTTTGTTTTGGTTGGTTGGTTGGTTGGTTGGTTGGTTGGTTAGTTGGCCGGTTGGTTGGTTGGTTTTTGAGATAGGGTCTCTTTGTAGCCCAAGCTGGCCCAAAACTCACTATGTAGACCGGGCCAGCCTCGACCCCACACAGACCTGCCTGCCTCTGCCTCCCAAGTCCAGGGATTAAAGATGTGCCCACCATGCCCAGCTGGGCTTTGCTTTGAATAAACCTTAGCAGCAGCCCTTGTAGCTGCAGGCCTGCTGTTACATTGGCCTGGCAGCCACTGGCTTTGGATATGACCAAGCACTACATCAGCCTTAGCAATAAAATATGTTCCTGGCAGTGGTTCTGTGTCTATGGTACCTCCTACCAGTAAATCACAAAAGAATTCACAGGCTTAGGGTACCAATAGCTGTCTCTGAATATCTGGTTCCCAAATACAGCCACACTGTGAAGAATGGATTAGGTACTCATGTCAGTACACAGACATCAACTCAGGACCATCAAAGTCA